GAAGCATAGATAAAGTAGAACTGGATTAACAGGTTGGAAGAAAAAAAATAAAAAAATTCTTAGCCAAATGTCAGTGAAAAGTTAAAACTTAAAAATCAAAAACCGAAAAAAAAATAAAGTTATTTTGTTTTTACGGGAAAAAATTATGTTCGCCTGAACACATTCGTGAGCTGTTCGCGAGAACACGGAGAGGCATGAACCCGTTCGCCGTGCTACGCAGCGAAACAGTATGTCTGTCCCTGATCGCACCCTTTCTGGCCCAGGGCCCAGTTAACTGCAGTTTACTGAGTACCAACTCATCCCTGGTGGCGTTTTGTCAGTACCTGGTCACACTCTGGCAGGCCCAAAACCAGTTAACTGCAGAACACTGCATGAACATGCAGTTTTTTATCCGTCCTATCCTAATTTAGATCCTATGTGGTGGCAAGGAATGTTTGTAATTCCCTTTATGGCTTGTCTAGGAAGTACACAGTCATCTCTGGCCTGTCGAACTGTTTAACGAATGACGAGGTTTCGATCCCGGAACGGTGACATGCTCAGAGATTACATAACAAGAATGCTCCCTGAAGAGCGAAAACAAAGACTGGCCAGGTGAGTCTCCCTAAAAGAGAAGAAAGAACTACACAGAAAATGGCAACAAGAATGGTTTCACTGTGCCTCTTGCTGTCTGCTGTATTCTGCACTTTGTTTTGTAAAGTGCGCTCCTTTCATCGTCGATAAAGGCACACTGATGAGAACTGTTTCTTGTTGCCTTTTTCTGTGTAATTCTTTCTGTTCTTTCTTTCTTTCTTTTGGCGCTATACATTAACCGTTGGAGTAACCGTTGAACGGTTGGAGTCCGACTCATGGCTCCTGCGGCTGCCCTGTTTCGTGGCCGGTGGCTTACAGAGGAAAATGTGTCGACCAACCAGATCAGAAAAAAGAAGTACTCAGCAGCCTGCAGCGAGTGTGGCGTGGCAAGCGAACGTCAGTCGACCGACGAGATCGGAAAGGAGAAGTACGCAGCAGCCCGGGCCAAGTGTGGCATGGCAGGCTGCATTCGGGAGATTGAGCAGTAATGAACCACAGCGGCGAAACCGGCGGAGCTGGTGGAAAGGTGGCGACATCATAATGGAGCAGCCAAGGAACTGCCGGATTTGTGCAGAGGGAACGAATGTGTCGAGCATTGTCATTTGCGATTTATGTGACGAATGGTTTCACATATCGTGCCTTGATCCTCCCCTCCTCTCAATTCCTGATTACGATTGGGTTTGCCCCATTTGTGAAGTGCGACGAAAATGATCATTGACAGTCTTTGACCATGTATATTGCGGTTGGTGATGCACGTAGTTCACTCTCATTCTCGTTTTCGGACAAACTTCCCTTCGTCACCCTTATCCTGCAGAGGGTTGTGTTCCTTCAGAAAATCAAGGGAGTGTCCTCGCACCAACTAACAGCTAGCTTATCGGATGTGGGTAGTGAGCAACAGACATGAAAGAACCAATCTTTGTTACATATGGAGAATCCTTCTTTCACGTTTTCCTTCCTCTTTCTTCCTCTTTCTACCTTTTCTTCCTCTTTCTTGCTCTTCCTTCCTCTTTACTCCCTTCCTTTCTTCCTTCCTTCCTAGTCTCTTCTTGATTTCCTTATTCCTTACTTCCTACATCCCCTCCTCGCTTCTTTCCTTCCCTTTCCCTGCTTCTTTCCCTTTTCTCTTTCTTCCTCTTCATCTTCAGATTCTTCACTACCTTCCTTCCTCCCTCCCCTCCTGCTTTGCTTCTTCCTTAGTTCCTCCCTTTCCTCCTCCCTTTGTTATTTCCCTCCGTTACTCTCTTTCTTCCTTCCTCCCACCCCTTCTTCCTCACTTCTTCTCTCCCTTCCCTTCTTTTGCTGGCCTCCCTGCTTTTCTTCCTTCCGTCCTCGCCCATCCTTCCTTCCTTCCTTCCTTCCTTCCCCTCGTTTCCTCCTCTTTTTCTCCCTTTCTTCCTTCCTCCCTCCCCTACTCTCTTTCTCCTCATTTACTCCTCCCTCGTCCCCTAATTCCACGGCTCCCTCTCTCCATCAGCCTCCTTCCCTCGATCTCTACCTCCTTCCTCCCTTCCAGCCCCCTCCTCCTTTGCTTCCTTCTCTCCCTGCCATCCTTTTGCTGGCCTCACTGCCTTTCTTCCTTCCTTCCACCCTCTTTTCCTCCCCTTTCTCTCCCCATCGTCCTTTCTCCCTGCCTTCACTGCTCTCTTTCTCCTCATGCATTCCTTCTTCATCCCCTAATTACATGACTCCCTCTGTCCCACCCTCCTCCTCCCAGATCTCCCTACATCCACACCTTCCTTCTCGTCTTTCTGCCTGCCTGACTGATTCCCAAAACTCTCCTCCATCGAGTGAGGGTCACCTTTTCTTTGCCTTGACGAGTGATGCACAGATCAATTCAGTGGATACCTTATCGTTTGTCGTTCGGGAGGTGTAGTAGTCAGTGGGTCATCATTTGAAACGGCGGAAGATAATGCAAGCAAACGCCAGGTTGACTTCGTTGTAGCCTTTCTGGCCACGGCATTAATTTAGGGTTTAGGGTTTAGAGCTGCTTGGGTAGAGGGAGGTGTTGTGGCTGTCACAATTTAGAAGAGCTAAACAATGTAAACATGTATTATGTTGTGAGTTGAAGAAGTAAGATGATCCTGGTACCTGCCTTCCTGTTGAAATGGTACACAATGCACATGTAATTGTTGACTAACAGATCATGAGTTTGAATCCTTAAGGATAAAACAATGTTAGGGGCTAATCCCCCCGAGCTTCACATTTATGAATGGAAAAAGGAGCTGGATATGCAATTGCGGTCCGGCTTCTGCAGACTGCAGGTGAGGACGAGGCGTGACAAGTGAAGTTCAGTCCAATGATCAAATTTTGTAATGTGATGGTCATCGCATAATCATAGGTAAAAGTGAGCTATTGGAGAGTATGTACTGAAGACTGACTGCGGCAGTGCTTTCCATTATGTTTCCCCCCTCTCAGGGCATAGTCACACTATTGCTCACCGGAATGTATCTAACGGCAAGTATGGATGGACCTGGGTGAATCGGATGGCAGTCACATCCAGAGGTAAGTAGAAAAAGTCCTTGTGTGAGTAAAATAGGGAGTATGTCCTCAGTCCATATGTTTGGTAGGACCGATGAGTGGTGGCTTGGAAGAATAAGCCTGGGCTTCAAAGAAGATCAGCACCCCGGGGAATTGCAGAGTTGCAGAGTTAGGGGATCTGGGAGGGTCTGTGGCGAGTCCTGCAGGTGCTGTGCGACAGCTGGACGGCAGGTCCTGCCGGTGCTATGTTTTTCCTTCAAAATCCTAATCTCTGGTGTTAAGACTCGCCAGGTTCATCTTCCTTTCTTAGCACGAACGCAGCACCAGTGGAACTTGGCAGAGTTTCTGTGCCTCAAGCATTGAGGCTGTTTGATGTTCTTTTGTCCGTAACTGTGGTCAGTTACAACCAGGTAAATAGATAGATAGATACGCCAGAGTCAGAGACACGTCTTAAAGCATGGTAAATTTCAGCATTCACACTCTGTTGTAGATTTTCTCATTTGCACAGAGAGAGAGAGAGAGAGAGAGAGAGAGAGAGAGAGAGAGAGAGAGAGAGAGAGAGAGAGAGAGAGAGA